AACAATGGTACAAAACAGATATCAATACTTCAATAGGTTGGTAAATTAAAATTATATCAGATAATGAAATACGGTTTATTACTGTAAATTTTAAGTTAAGTCTGTAAAACAAAAAAAACCGAGCTGCCAGTTTTTTACCGTACAAATTACAGTTTGATTTTTTACAGTGTGAATGTTTTGGAGGGGTGGGTGCCATTTTCCTACCCTCTATGTAAGTATTCACGTGGCATTTAGAGCTCAGGTAACAGATCTCTTTGGGTATTAAAGATCTCCTTGTAAGAAACCAGCAGCAATGCTCCCTAAAACTAGCGAAAGATGAATTTTCCAGCCGGGCTTTCAGCTCATCCAGGGCTTTGCTGGCGCAGGAGCTGAGAACAGCTAAACCTGCAGGTCCCCATTGACGCTAGACTTCTGTTTTGCCTGAAGTGCAGGTATGAATTTTTAAGAGGTACTGCGTGAGTTCATGACTAAAAAGGAAAAATGAAGTAATGCTGATACTTGTAATTCATTACAAGCCATGCCTTTCTATCTGAAACATGCCAGTACCTGGTGTGTGTTTGGAGAGAGAAGTGATGTTGCCTATAATTAATTGCTGTGTGCAAAACATGCCCTAACTTACAGTTATTATCTTCAAGAACCTGTGCATTAGCCGGCATAATGCAAAGAGTGCCTACATTTAAAACAGAGCTTGGCATGGGTGAACACACCCTGTGAAAGCAGGAGGGGTCCAAGATGAGTTTTTGCTTTGATAGTTCAGATGTGAGAACCCACTGTGCTACAGTCGGATGAAAAACATCCCATAAACAAGCATGTTTTATTAAAGTTAATGAACAGTGGTGTGCCGTGCGGTGTGGACGGACATTCATTATTGGTTTTATATTCTAAGGGGTAAAATCATGATTTGCATGCAAATACAGCACGTTTTAAACTCTGTGCATGCTTTGCTTTTATTTATTTAGAAGAACAGCATGAGCTTTACTTAACAGTGGGGTTCAGAAATGTGAAACCGCCAACATCTGGGGTTTTGTCCTTTACATCCTGGAGAGTTTTAGGATTTTGAGCGATTTAAAACAGCAAAAAAAAAGTTTAGATTAAAAAAATATATTTTTGAAAAGAATAATTAAAATTAACTACAATTAATTAAATAACTACAATTAATGCATAAATTACATAATATTATGTACAATTAATAATAATTGTGTGTATAAAATAATTATAAATACATAAAAAAATAAGCTATTAAAGAATCTGCACTATATTTATGTGACTTGTTAGCATTTTTTTGCACTATTTCTAGGTCATTAAATCAGTAAATCTGGGTCAACGATCAACTCTTTACTTCCATTAAAGAATAAGATGCTTTTCGGATCATTCTTAAAGTGCGTCTAATAAGATTTTTCGGATTTGATCTTTCATGCAGAGTGTGAATGTAAAAGTTCTGAAACATTTGTTATTGTCAAACAGTTATTGTCTTCTAAAAGAATGAATGTAGTTACAAACCTACGGAACAATGTAACAAATTTGCATAATGCCAGTATATTGTCTTCATTGGCTGCTTGTGAACAACGTCTACTTTCCCCTCCCTCAGACGCTGTAGTTGTAGTTGAGACCGCAAGAGTTTGGTTTGTGTTGTTGATGTCGAGAAAACACTGTTTTCTGCTGTGAAAGCAAATCTACTTTGATGCACTTCCAAAGGATGAGACTCTCGCTGGAATTGATACGGTAAAACTAACATCATTGTTAAAGTTCGTATCACTATAGATCAAGTGCTGAGAAAGATCTGGAGCTGAAATTCAGATATGATCATTTTGTTTGGATTCTGAAACGTGCTTTAAGCGTTCGACCAATCACAACAGGCTGCACCATCTGACCAATCAGAGCAGAGGGGCTTACTGATAAGAATAATTTTGTGGTGAAATACTACAGAAAAAAAAAAACATGAGTTGAAATTAAAAAGAAAACGAAGTAAATTCAATGTTAGTACTCAATTCAAGCGTTATGAAAGCATAAATATCAACGTTATAAAATTAAGTAAAATTACTCAACTTTTCTGATACTGATGTTCCCATCATGCACTGGGCCTTGAATAATTAATGAAGGGCCTTGAATAAAGTTTTCCAGCTGTATTTACACTGTTTTATCATTGCTTTTGTTCATTTTGTGACATTTGGATTGCATTTTCTACTCCAAATGACACATTCAAACACAAAAAAAACGAACCATCAAATGTTACCGTCATTGTGTATTGTCTACCAAGTAAACTCTCTACATTCACAACGATTAGCATCTTCCAAATTTTAGAAAGAAGATTAAACAACTTAATTTTGATACTAAAACCAACAGCTACTGCCTCTCTATGACCATATAATGCATTTATGTTCAGCATTTATGTTTAACCGTCAAGTCAGATTTAATTTTATCACACATCAAGACATTAAAAAAACCTTTAAAAACATAGAACAACACTTGAGTTAAAGGGATAGTTCACTTTGAAATTAAATTTTGGTGTGTTTTAGTTTACCTCAAGGGCATCCAAGATGTAGGTGTCTTTGTTTCCACAGTATTTTCAATTTTGATATTTTTAGGTCAAACCGTTCTTGTCTGTCAGTCATATAATGGAGGTCTATGGTCACCACCTCAAAGAGCATGCACAGAGAAGTCCAAATCAAACATGATTTAATGACTCGTAAATGTAAGTACACATTGATGGCCTAAGACATGAAACGAGCGGTTTGTGTGAGAAAACGAACAGTATTTATATCGTTTTACCTCTTGTAACCACAGCCACAAAGTGCACGCGCCCTCTGATCACTTGGGCGTAGCTGTGGTTACAAGAGGTAAAAACGATATAAATACTGTTTGTTTTCTCACACAAACCGCTTGTTTCATGTCTTAGGCCATCAATGTGTACTTACATTTACGAGTCATTAAATCATCAATCATTAAATCGTTTGATTTGGACTTCTCTGTGCATGCTCTTTGAGGAGGTGACCATAGACCTGCATTATATGACTGACAGACAAGAACGGTTTGACATTAAAAATATCATAATTGAAAAAATACTGCGGAAACAAAGACGCCTACATCTTGGATGCCCTTGAGGTAAGCTAAAACACACCAACAATTAATTTCAAAGTGAACTATCCCTTTAAACTGTTCCAGACCTCTGAAGCAAAACTCAAATATTATTTGAATATCATTTTTCAAATAATTCATTACATGTCACAAGAGATCAGGAAAGAAAAAAACTGGTTTCATAAAAGTGGCTTCAGAATTCAAAAAAGAAAGAATTCTTGAGATCCCGCTTGCTCATTTTAACAATGCTGCGATGACTTATGAATCTGACTGCAAATGCTTATTTTCATGAGGCAAAATAATATCCCGATCACATAGGTAGAGGAAGACATATCTTTCTTTGTCCAAGCACATGTTTTACTGAAACATTTGTCTGTGAAGACCTCAAAAACTGCCAAAACTGATCTGCATTCAATCTAAAGCTAAAATCTGAAGATATTTATAGCTTACATTTGTTCCTCGTGCACTTAATAATAACTTCATATCGCTTATGTAACAGGTGTTTTTAGTTAGCATGTCTTTGGTGGGTGATAATGAGCAGAGTTGAGTGTGAAACAACATTTATAATGAAAAAGCAGCGTTTGCCCATTTCACCAGCGAGTGTGAAGCAAAGCTTTTGATGCGTCAGTGTTTGCGTTTGTCTTTGATACCTTGGGTTGTTAGGCATTTATGAAGTTCAGACAGCTCTGAAGAGAAACACAATTATAATGAGCTTATAAATATCTAGCATTCACAACATTCCCATGGTGGAAATGACTTTGAGCCTTCACTCATTGGTGTGTTTTTTCAGAGCCAAGCACTTGTGTTAAGAGGATGGCTCTTGTTGAAAGAGATAGCTACGAGATGAAAAAGATATTTACATATTTCCACAGTAATAAATGCAAAAGCATAAATTATTCTAGTGTGCAGAGATTCAATATTTCTTTGCTGTCTTGAATGAGAATGAGATGACGTAGTGGTTCATTTGATCAACATACTTTGTTAATAACACTATGCATATCTGAACTACAATCAATCATGCACAAACAATGCATGACCTCTTAAGATGTCGTTTATTGAGGGATCCTATTAAATATATCCGTAGCCTAAAACAAATTCATCTCTACTTTCACCACAAACGCACACTGGTTTCCATTTTTATGGGGACTGCCCAAAGATGTAATGATTTTTAATACTTTCTGCATTTTTAAATTTCCAAAACACTTCATTTAGTATGATTTATAAGCTGTTTATAAACCCCAAAATGTCCAAATTTAAGGTTATGACTAACCATCACTATCCATAATAGCCTTATTGCCTACCAGGATGCCGGGCGCGCACACACACACACACACACACACACACACACACACACACACACACACACACACACACACACACACACACACACAGCATTAAACTGAATAGAACAGCACAGAGCCAAATAGAAAAAAAACCCCATAAGATGAACAGGGAAACAGAATAGAATAAAACAGAATAGAATAGAACAACAAAATAACAAAAAACAAAATGTGTCAATATAGAAAATAACAGAATAAAACAGTACAATATCATAGAATAGAATAGAACAACAAAATAACAAGAATGTGTCAATAAAGAAAATAACAGAATAAAACAGTGCAATAGAATAGAATAGAATATAGAATACAGACCGATGGTCATAACCATGATCATGCCTACTGACAGGACTGAACAATTAATCCGATTCCTATCTGAACCGAACATCGTCGTAGTCTCCAATTTCACGTATACGACTTAGAAACTATGCAACATCTTTCAGACCCTCTGCATCCATAAATGAAATAGGCTGAATCCACAAAGCCACACTGTAAAGATCCGTTTACCAGGAAACAAAAACGCTAAATGTTTCAGCAAGTTCGCTTAATGAAGCCCCATTTGTGAAACTCTGCTCTCCCGAATCTTACCGTGTGTGTGTGTCCGTCGCCAGCGCAGATGTACTGGAGCGACTGGTGTCTGCTGTGCTGGAGTAACTGGTGGTTTGAGGAGCTGAGGTTTATCAAGCAAACCTGAGGCGCAAGAAGGAGGCGCCTTCGGTTGTTGTCGAGCGCGCGAGAGGTGTTTGTGTTGACATTCACTTCACTTCCCTTTTGGGTTCTAGAGACTTATGTGTTATACCGTATATAACAGTCACTGAAAAATTGTATTGCCTTCAAAATCTTTTTCCTATTTAAAACCCACCCTCTCTTTTAGCCCAGTGTTCAGTTGAAAAGGGAGTCAAAAGGTGTTTTACCCTAGTAGGGACATTTTTGTTTTGATTTTTGATTTATATATATATATATATATATATATATATATATACAATAACAAAAAGCAATAACAAATATTTTGCATATTATTTTTTCATGTCATATATATATATATATATATATATAACAATAACAAAAAGCAATAACAAATATTTTGCATATTATTTTTTCATGTCATCTGGTTTCATGTTGGATGTTGACTACCAGTGTCATTGATTTTTGAGCTTTTAAGGGATAGTGTCGGTTCCCTTTGACTTTCATTGGTTTTGCTTTTGTTTTATTTAAAAAACATATATAAAATTGATAGCTAGTGATGCAGTCAAATTCAAAATATTGGAGAGAGTTGTTTCTCTGAGAACTTGGATTTTTGTGCATGAGTCAAAAAATGACACCCAAAAATATTTGTGAACTATATCTTTAAAAGGTCTCTCAAACAGAAAGGTCCAAATAACAATAATTCAATAATAATTCCTTACAAGTGAAACTATTATTTCTTGGAAGACTGCAATTTGCCATCCAAATGTTTCAAGAAACATTTAAAAAATATATTCTATTTAAAAAAAACAAACAATGATGTTCATAATGATGTCAAAAAATAGGCCAATGACATACCGTTTTGTTGCTTTGGATATGTGGTCAATAATTTGATTTGAATTAAATGTTTTGAAAAGTATATATGTTGTTTGAGAGGAATTGTCAAAGTAAGAGTTATTTAACAGATGTCAATAATGGGCTGCGTGAACTATTGTGTGTGCAAACATCATTTATTTTTTTAATGGTTGACTTACATGGTTGATTTTATGACAGCAAGTCATTTATACAAAGAATAATGGATGACTTTGGAACTGGCAAGGTTACTGGCAACTCAAAACCTAACAAAAATGTTATAATAAATTTCACAAAAAGCACACCTCAATATTTCATCTATACTGCAGTGTAGGCTATACAGTCTACATTCTGGTAAGATATTAAAAGTCCTATAAAGAACCACATTAAGACACAATTATTCTTGAGACTTCGAAGAAATGTAATGCACATTCCCATTAGGAGCACACTTCCATTAGAGCAGTGTCATTAAACACACACTGTTTTCTGGAACAATCCATATAGAGCCTCTTCTCTTTCAAAGGTTTAATCTGTTCTTCAGGTTTTATCTGGACCTACTTGGGGCTTCCTTGTAATTGACATTTCCAAATGATGTTGTTTGTCCACTCACAGACCACTAGCAGTCGGACTGCACCATATCCCTACTTTTAAATCTTTATAATCGAGATTTTTGTCCTACAAATCAAATGTGAGAGGTAGTGACGTTGGTTTAAATGAGTATGGACTATGAGTGTGGATCCATCTGGGTCATGGGACAAAGGTTTATTTTGTCAATTTGAACATCTTTTGTGGTTAAAGAAAAATTGTCCAACCCCCCACTTGAACTCTCTATATAACATCTCAGGTTTTTACATTTCTGAGTGAGCATTAGGATCAAAATTACGCTGATCCTGCTTGGTGAAATCATGGTTATCCCAGGATGCTCTCATCTGGTAATGAATAAAGGTGCTGCCAAATTAGCGAAATTTCATGGGCAAAAAAGGTCTATTGTAAATAATGTAGTGACGTATTAAGCACAACTCACAAAGAAGTCTCTCAAAATCAAGCAGCTTTCTGTTTGGCAACATGGCAAATCCACATGACCAACATGACAATGCCCTTTGATGTTCCCAGAGTGTATATGTGAAGTTTTAGCTCAAAATACCACACAGATATTTTTATACAGCATGTTAAAACTGTCACTTTTTGAGGGTGAGCAAAAACGCACCATTTTTGAGTGTGTCCCTTTAAATGCAAATGAGCTGCTGCTCCCGGCGCAGGGGGGCGGAGCTTCAACTGCTTGTGTCCTTTTACCTCATACAGACATGCACTGAAAATTTCAAAAACTTTTAGCCTTTTATGTTCAAACCGAAGTCAGACAATGATGAAGAGACTCAAGAAGTGACAACACGTTGACAACATTTCTAAATGGTTAGTTGCAGGTGAGTATATATACGCACAACCGGCACATCCGGGAACTTAACTGTCAATTTTATCCCTGCCCCCTTTTGGGGGAAACAAACTAGACTCCCCATATAGACTTCAATACAAAATAACGGCAAAAACCAACGTCCGTACACAGCCGACAGGCGTAAATAACTTAAGAAATCACTTATATAAAACGTGTCAAGTAATTATATGTCCACCCTGCCTGCCATAGAGAGCATGAAAGATACATTTTTTTATGCCCGTAATCAACTATCCCAGGCTACCTGCCATCATCATCATAAATTCATAATATACATTAAGGTTTTTTACTTTAAAAACGAAATAAAATCATTCAAGGGCTTACCTGGTGACTCGATTAGGTACAAGTAAATGTCCGGGTAAGACACCTCTGGCCACTGGGTGGGGTTGTTACCCCAATTTGACGCTGGGAGAATAAAGGGACATGTTTTTAAATTGACCAAATTAAGTTTGTCTATGTATCTTTCATGCTCTATGGCAGGCAGGGTGGACATATAATTACTTGACATGTTTTATATAAGTTATTTTCTTATTTTGTATTGAAGTCTATGGAGTCTAGTGAGTCTAGTTTGTTTTCCCCCAAAAGTGGGCGTGAACCTATTCAGAGACGCGTATACATAAGCTACATGTACATTCTACATGTAGCTTATGTGTGTAGTTATCATCTAGTCATTGATTAGCATATTCTGTCTTGATAATCTATAAATCGTGTTCAGGGGGCGGGGTTATGTACATCTTAGGGTTAGTCTCTACCAGCCGTTTGTTGTAGTGCTAAACCCTTGTGTGGTGTTCATATACAGCCAGTGCATTTTGGGGTTTTCTAATTCAACACAATCAAAAATTTTTATGTTAAAATACTCAACAGATGTTTCCTTCATCCCAATTACAAGCAATATAAACAGCATATATGGTTAATATTTTCTCTTTACCTTTGTTAGATCACATTTAAGAATCACATTTAAGACCCGAACACCATACAATTTCTTTAAAAGAAAGTATATCGCTTTGCTTTGAGCGCTGTAACTTTGCAGATGTTGTTTACACTCAAACAGCAACATTACACACCAACTAAAAATAGAAAAGTGAAATCATAAATAGCTACATGTTGTATGCATGCAACAGCAAAGGGTAAAATGTTTAAACAATATGATGTATGCACTAAATCCAATGTTAACTGAGACCTACATATTTTTAAACACTCGACTATTGGCTAACTATTCGTTTTATTTATTTATTCGCATAAAGTGAACTACCCAACCTTATGACGCTATCGGCCACTCTCAACAATTTCTCCTGAATCCATTCGAAATGTGGGGAAATCTTTTGCCCTTACGTGAAATTCCCAATCACATGGTTTCCTGTTGAAATGATGGATTTTGCCTGTGAAAATTCACTGAACAATGGTAAATGTGACCGCAGCAGCAAACCAAAGCAAATCATAAGTTCTAAAATATCTTCTAACATAATTACTAAAATTACTATTTAGATATTTCATGGCAAGACAGTGTCGATTATTTTAGAAACATTTACCATCTATTCATTCTGGGGAAACTAACAGTCAGTTTTTAGAAAGTAGTGAATGAATAACAATGTGTCAGTGTGAAATTATATTAGTAATGAGAAATGATATTAATTAATATTAGCAGTTTGACTGCTGCTCAGTCAAGGACACTGTATTGTTTTCCTTGACGGCTCGTTATTAAGAAGCGGAACAATTATGAACCATTTGCATAACTTTGAACCTTGTCATATTTCTCAAAAATAGGTTTTTTTAAACATCCACATCATAAACACAAAAAGAATATCTTCCACTTCCACATTGAGGAGAGATTCATCCTACATTTGTCACTTCCTAAATTGGGCCCTATGTAGGAAATGAGGCTTATCCAGAGCCGTCTGTGTGGCACTGTGGGGGAGTGTGCACGTGCTCTCAACACTCATCCCACGAGAACGAGATGTTAATGCAGCGCAACACCTAACTCACCATCCTCTCTGAGTGACACCGAACCTCTCAGACTATGCAGTGATTCCCAGGGCCTTAATAGCATAGAGACTGAGAGACACAGATCAGTATCCAGAATTATGGTTGACTGATAGTTGCTTTTAATAGAAAATTCTTAAATCACTACATTTGGCCTACATTTGGTTACATTTTTGGTGGTTTAACCCTTGTGAAAAAGAAGTAGGCCTACACTTCAGCATCATTTTATAAAGAATACTCAAAATGGAAAAAAAGGTACAAAACAAGTTGTCACTGGGGTTGTGCCTTTTCAAAGGGTAAACTTTTGTCCATTTCAGGTGCTAATAAGTAAATTTTTGGTGCTAATATGTAAATCTTAGGTGCTAATAAGTATTTTTTAGGTGCGAATATATAAATTTTAGGTGCTAATAAGTAGCCTATATTTTAGGTGCTAATATGTAAATTTTAGGTACTGTTATGTACATTTTAGGTGTCTGCCAATATGTACATTTTAGGTGCTAATATGTACATTTTAGGTGCTATTATGTACGTTTTAGGTGCTAATAAGTATATTTCAGGTGCTAATATGTAAATGTTAGGTGCTATTATGTACATTTTAGGTGCTAATATGTACATTTTAGGTGCTATTATGTACATTTTAGGTGCTAATAAGTATATTTTAGGTGCTGATATGTAAATTTTTGGTGCTATTATGTACATGTTTGGTGCTATTATGTACATTTTAGGTGCTATTATG